TAGAAGTAGTGCGAGTACTAATTGGCCGTTTTCCCGCTAATGTAGCTACTGGTTTCGTCCTGTGACTCTTGTAGTACCGAAATAGTCCCCTCGGGGAACGTTGCAGTGTCAACATGGGCTTTCGTCGTTCGCCATTTACTTTCTTTTGTTTGGTTTGACAGTTGTAGGAATTTCTAACGGCGATGCGCCGATGCCTATAATTGTTTCCAAAAACTAGGAAAATAAACTTTTATATTTCTTGAGAAAAGCATTGAAATTAAAATTTTAAGTAAACTGATTTTCAAGATAGAGAAATAAACTGATACACAAAGTTTTAAATGTAACAAATCACCTGAAATTTGTGGGTTTTTAACAATTCGTTGTCAAAAGCCAGCTGCGTCAATTTGTCGATGCTTTCGACCAATTCGCCATATGAACTCTGTATACAAATAATATTTTCAAGGATGTAAAAGTTAAGACAAAGCCTATTTACGTTTAAATTTCAAAAATGTACTCTGAAGAGAAAATGTCATGAGCACAAGAACAAGGACGAGCCTCAGAAGAATGACCATGATCTCTTTGCCTTATTCTAGATCTTTTTTTTTAACACTGGTTTTATTTAGAGATTTCCCTAAAGGGTGGGACCGAGTACATGAAAGAGATTAGCGTCACTAGACACGCTAAACACAAAAGAAATGCAGGCGTAACCCGTAAAGGGTCTTACGGTAAGAGAAAGAGATGATTAAGTCTCTCCAGTGATGGGTCATCTTAGTCTTGCTCGCCAGCTGCTTCAGCAATTAGAGTGCTATGTAGCCAATGCGGACCATCCTGGGAGAGATAAGATTGATAGCGATGCTCTCTTGTAACAGATCTAGCAATTTCCATAGCACAATGATTTCCTTCCACAGTCACCACCAATAAGTCTCAAAATTGAAAATGCAGGAGCATGTTATGTATAGCTTCTATCCGCTCTCTAAGCCGCGGGTATAGGTGGGGAAAGCTAATCGCCTCATGTACACTGGCCGATGACACTTCAAAGACCACCTGCGTATGTCCTATGTTTTTCAAACACTCACTTGCCCAGAAGAGGCTCCAAAGTTCCAATTCTAAAGGGGAAGAAATCATAGAGTAGGAGCGACAGCTATGGAAGAGTGTAGTACCATTATGGTCTCGAAGCAGCCAAGCCACTCCTCCATTAGTTTGAGGACTAGTCCAAGATGTAGCCACATTACACTTCAAGAAATTTGACCTTGGTCGTTTCCAGGCTCCCATTGTAGCCCATACAGTTCCTAAAGGGAAGCCTTCCACGTCGTCATCATTATTGGCGGAGCCCCATAACTCAGCATCTTCAACCGCTTGATGCAGAATACCATGTGGATCCATCCTGATCTTGTCAAAAACCAGTTTGTTGCGGGCTTTCCATATCTGCCATAATATCCACGGGAAAGCAAGGCAAGCAGGAACTCTTATCCTTGGGTTTTTGCTGCATTTTTTAGCAAGAAATGTAGATTCAGCAGAACAGAGTTCTGAGAGAAGCTTGATGGAGGTTGGGGCAAGCCAGATAAATGCCAAACTTCTTTAGCCGTGGGGCACAGAAAGTATACATGACATATCGTTTCACTATACAGTCCACAGGAAGGGCAGATGGGGTTCGTATGAATACCTCTAGAGTTCAGACGCTCGAATACTGCTAAAGCTCCAGCCAAAGCACGCCAAAGGAAGTGTTTTATCTTAGGTAGGGTTTTGATTTTCCAGAGACTGGACCAGAGATTACGCTCCAAGGGGGACAGAGACGTTGCTTGAGGACCCTGTGAACCAATGGTCAAATGAGCCAAATTATACCCACTAGATCTAGAATCATATAAAACAATCTATAATTCATATAACCATAATATATATATATAATATTTATTATAAACCTTATTTATATCATATTTTGTAGAATAAGAAAAAAAACTAGACAATAATAAATAAATAAATAAAAAACAAACTCAATCTAGATAATAAAGGGACGACTTCTGGATGTAATCATGTCCCTCCGTAAAAAAAGTAAATTCCTTCATCTGTTTCCAAGTTTTTAACCTTATAATATTTACTTATTTATGTTTTTGTGTTTGATTTTGGGATCGGTTAGAGGTTGTTGCTCTTATCCACTATCTCTAGGTTTTGGGACCAAGCGAGCCCAGGAGATATTTACTACTAATGATTCCAGGCCCGGTTTTAGAGGTGTGCCAGCAGTACTTTTGCACAGAGCCCATCATTTTTTTATCTAATTTTTATGAGTTTTTACTGTATTTTAGGGCCCTAAAATATTTAAATTTGTACAATTAATGGCCCATTTTTTTGCAATTACATAATTAAATTAATTTTTTTGAATAATATAGCACAGAGCCCAGTTTTTATTTGAGCCGGGCCTGAATGATTCTATGATTCGGTAACAGCTTTGGTCCTTGTTAAACAAGGAAACTAAAACATAGATAAACAAAAAACACTCAATCTTAAAGTCACTACTCTACTCCTGAATGCGTACTTAATCATGTCCCTCCTCCGTAAAAGAAATATGCTCCATCTTCTGTTTCCAACCTTACTTATTTGTTTATTTGTGACTGATTTTGGGATCGGTTGGAGATTATTGTTGATATCTATAATCGCTAGGTTTCGTAAATAATTAGCTTTTCCAAAACCTTACACAGGGTAATGACAGTGTGTCTGCCGAACCTGTGGCAATCTACTATTTCACCACCCCAACTCACCTTGTCCACAGGATCAGGACTCGTGAAAAGTTCCACCAGCCAATATCCTACCAACGAGTTCTCTTCGGGTCCTAAGGTCTAACCACCAGTTTCCATGTTTGCGATTCTGTGAATTATTTTTATTTTAGTTAGAAAAAATGAGATATGTAGAACTAAATTTAACATGAAACAAATTAGATATTTAGAATACACATAAAATAAAAGTAGTAATTAAAATAGGTATTGGGAAACTAACCTTCCAAACGAGAATGTTAATTTCAGATTGTCTACCTCCAAACACATAAATTGGAGTAATGGCGCCTCCAAGAATTTTATGCGTACTGGTTTTATATATAGTAGTAATAATTTAAATTATAACAAAATGTAAGATACTAAGAATAAAGTTGAATACTAAAAAAGTCAAACTTTACATACCGTCCAAAATTTGAATAATCTTGGCTTGTCGTCATTATATAATTACGGATACACATGAATAGTTGAATAATTAGAATAACATATTGTATTAGTTACATATATATGTAAATGATTAATGATTAAGAAAATAACAAATATTATGTAAATTTTTTTGATAAAACCAACCTGCCATCCTATTTCTATTGTCTCGAGATTGTTCTCATCATATGATCCTGAAGTAATCCAGACTTGGGAGATACTGTTTCTTCGTCTTCAACTTTCGGTTAACTTAGTTTTATTCGTATAATTTTATTTGGAATTTTTGTTTCTTTTTCTGTATATTGTGTATTATTTCAAAATCTAAAATTATCGTAATTAATAATAGCTCAATTTTTAAAAAGATTTTATGTGATAGTTTTTTTCTTAAAAAAAATCATTACAATTTTAAAAACAATTCTAAATAATAACCACTTGATAAACTATAAAATAAAAAAGGTGAATATTCAAAATAAATGTAGAATAATTAACTAAACAAAAAGAATGATTGTCTAAAACAAAATTGAGAAAAAATATTTAAAAAAAAAATAAAACAAATTTTAAGCAAAATATAAGCAAAAATGAAACAAATTGTAAGCAATATATAAGTACAAAGGAAAAAATTGTAAGCAAAATATAAGCACAAATGAAGCAAATTGGAATAAAAATGAATAACAAAATATTTACGTTGGTTTCAGCCAATTTGATTCGATACCTTTTATATTAGTTTGGTTCTTCGGATTCCGGTAATTTGCCCAGAACAATGTCTTTATTTATCAACGGTTTCCTCACAATAAATTTGAAGAGACTACTAGTTAAAAACAGAAAAATAAGAAAACAAAAACAACGGTTTCATACAAAAGCTTTTATATCTTTTTCTTTGCTAAAATGATGATTACTGTATTGTTAATGTTTTGTGGAAGTGGAGAAATAAAATACTCTCTCCGTTTTTTAAAATATATGATGTTTTAGGGTTGGGCACATAGATTAAGGAATTTTGTAAAAGACTTATTTTAACTTTTTTATTAATTAAAAAATATGTTTTTGGACTAAAAATTATCTTAATAATAGAATGGTAAAAAATGTCATTTTATGTCATTTATTGCATAGAAAAAAGAGAACAATATATATTTTTGAACAAAAAAAAAGTCTAAAACATCCTATATTTTAAAACGGAGGGAGTATATGAAAGATTAACATAATGTGATCGAATCTTTGGGATATGAAACAATGGGAAAAGACATCCCAAAATGCAGAGGAATGCATTAAATTCTAGGTAACCATTACCATCATGGTTGTGATTCTGAATACTATTTTATGAGCTGTCATCAAAATCGTCACCTAATTATATCTTCTAATGTCTAAATTCAATTGGCCTTTTTGTAAATATAAATTATTATTGTTATATTGCTATTGATCAATGCCCATTTTTTTCAGGAGTCCAAAACCTAAACAGCTCTTGTTGTTAACATTAGCTTATCCATTCGATCTCTCCTTGCATCTCATCAGATTATTCAAAGTATTACGATCAGTTGCTCGGTCTTCTTCTTGTTCTCTGTATGGTTGTAAGCGTTAGGTGGATATGATGCCTTGGCCAAGTGATTTAGTATCACTTAGTTTTGTGACAATAATAATTCATATACACCACTTTTTTTGTAGTGTGGTGACTCAGTGTTGCATCTCGTTGAGGGGATCACCATGGTTTTCAGCTTCTTCTCCACATACTTAGATCAAGACGTGGCTTGGTCGGATTTCTTACTTCACTTCCCATGTTTGATCATACAAAAGCTAATATATTTCTCTTTATGATCTTTAATGATAATGGAAGATTTATATTATCTATACTACGTACATTTGCTGGAAGAACTGGAAAAGTGTAAACCAAATTGAAGATAATGATATTCCACCAAAAGACTGTTTAACTAGAATTCAAAATCTTCTTTACACAATACTAACAAATACATAAAAGCATGAAAAATGCATGTCTTTCAAATCTGATTACATAAACACAAACACTTACGATGTCAAAAAGCAACATTCCTAACACTTGATTACTTCTCTAAAGCATTTGATTCAATGAATCCCAAGCGCCTGCATTTGTCTAATCATCAACATAGACGAATCATACATTTGCTTTCGGCTCACGTCACCTTCTTTTCCTCCTTCCTCTTCAAAAAACCTCTCACTTCCATCCAATGTACTCACCACTTGGCTAATGCTAGGTCTTAGCTTTGGATCGGTTCTCGTGCAAACCAACCCTAACCGCAATAACCTTGCCATTTCTCGCCTCTCGTACTCATCGTCTAGATGAATATCCGCAATCTCCTCCAACGATTTCTTCCTGTAACCGACTAATTCGCGGATTCTCAACACCAAAAGAGCGTCTTCTTTCTTCCTCTTGTAATCCACCGCGGGTTGACCCGTAACCATCTCTAGCACCACCACGCCGAAGCTGTATACATCCGCTGCAGTTGTTGCCTCGCCGGACTCCATGTATTCCGGTGCCATATAGCCAAAAATCCCTTGAGCGGATCCTTTCTTTTTCGCGGCTTGATGTGCGTGATCATTCCTAGATAAAAACTCGGCCAACGCAAATCCACAAAGTCGTGGATTCATGTCTCTATCAAGAAAGATTGTGGAAGAAGTTATGTTCCGGTGAACAACTTGCTCGTCCCATTCCTCGTGGAGGTAACGTACCGCGCAAGCAAGCGATTTAATCACGTTATACCGGATTTTCCACCGCAAAACCGTGTTGCCCGGTATCTGGTTATGGAAAAGAAGGTGGCTTAGCTTACGATTCGCGGAATAATCGTATACGACGAGCATTTCGCCGTGTTCGGTGCACCACCCGCGGAGCATGACGAGGTTACGGTGACGAAGCCGGCCTAGGTTAAGTAGTTCGGTGGAGAACCGTGTTACTAGCGCCGGACATTTCGTCATACCGAGACGTTTCACAACTATATGCTGGTCCCGGTTTAGTAAACCGTAGTAAGCCGTACCGAAATCAACCTCAGCAACGCGACGCGCGTCTGAGAAATTGTTAGTGGCTAAAACGATGTCGTTGTATGAGATCTCTCTTGGCGTGTCCAATACAAAAGACTTGGATGACGTCATCCGACGACTGGTGTTACTGAAATACCGATTTTCTCCCGTCTCCGCCGTATGGTAGATGGAATCATCGATGGCAGTAACGTAATTTGACGACGGTGTTGACTCTGAAGACGCGTTGAAACTTGCCGTGGAGGAGGTGGTTGGATTCGTAGTGGTGGCAGTGGTGGTCGTCGTCGCCGACGTTGAGGTGGATTTGAGAGAGGATAAAGGAATATAGAGAGGATGGCTCTTAAATGAAGGCAACGCCGGTAAGTTGCCGGGAAATTCTCCGGAAAGTGCTCCGATCACCCATTTCATGTTGGGACGAAGTTGTGGGTTGTTTAACGAACAGAGCAGAGCAAGATGAATCATTCTCTTCATATCGGAGATATCATAAGATCCTTTTGGTAGCCGAGAATCGCCGGCGTCGAGCAATTTCCCGTCATCGGATAATTTTCGCATCCAATCGAGCAAAACGATTTTGTCTTCAGAGAACGAGAGATCGACGGCGCGTCTACCGGATACCACTTCTAAAACCACGACGCCGAAGCTGAACACGTCCGTTTTCGCGGTGGCGACCGTTTTTTTCCGGAAGCTCTCAGGCGGTAAATACCCGATGGTCCCACCGATTCGTGTCGAGTCAGCAACTCGGAACTGGTGGTTCCGGAACGAGGAAACCGAGTCGTAACTCGGATCGAGCTCAACCTCATCAATCTTGTGTTCTAACCACCGAGCCAACCCGAAATCGCCGAGTCGTGCGTTGAACTCGGAATCCAACATCACGTTGCTCGTCTTCACATCTCGGTGAATAATCTGCGTCTCTAATTGCTCGTGGAGATAGAACAACGCGGCGGCGAGGCCTCTGACGATTTTACCCCTCCGATCCCAATCCAACGGTTTAAAGTCGGAATTCATATCCGGCCGTCGGAAAAGCACCCGATCTAAGCTCCGATTTGGCATATAATCATAAACAAGAAGCAATTCGTCGTCGTGAAGACACCACCCTCTCAACTTCACGAGATTCCGATGCCGGAGCTGAGCCACCGCAACAAGCTCCGCCGCGAACGTCTTCTCGAATTGCTCTCCTTTTTTCTCCGCCAAGCATTTAACAGCCACGGTGGTTCCGTCGCTCGGTAACAACGCCTTGTAAACACGGCCGAAACCGCCGCTTCCGAGGATTAATTCGTCGCTGAAACCATTTGATCCGATGTAAAGCTCTGAGTATCCAAAGATTCTCGGGTTCTCCCAGCCGATTTTGCCGGAAAGCTGAACACCTTCCATGTCGGTGAAAGATTTATCATTCACCTCCGGAAAAATCGAATCTTTACTCTCACTGATACAGAGATTCAAGCTTTGCACCAATTTGGAGCCATGTAATCGCCGGAATAAATCTCCGATCAAACTCACAACTTGACGTCCACAGTCACGATTCTTCTTCTCCTCTTCCTTGGTTTCCTCAACCATCGCCGGAGACTCTAAGGACGGCTTTAACTCGCCGGATTCCGCCGGTAAAACGAAACAGAGACGATCCACTGCCATTGGCGCCATGTGATGGTATAATATCAAATGTGAATGAATTTATGATATGATACGCTTTATAACATATGTGGCGATCTATTAGATTTTATTTGACCGACCAAAATTAAATGATGGATTTTTTGCCAGCAAGGATGTGTTTATATAGTGTGTTCTTCTAGAAAAATTTTAATGTTCAAATGGGTTACATATTATTTGAAATTTTAAAACATATTTTGAAGATTGGAGGCATTTGATTTCAACAAGATTAGGTTCGCGTGGTTTGAAATTAGCAAAACCCCCTTTACTTTGTTTGGTCATTTGTGCTGATGTTGTCATTCAATTGTCTAAAAACAAATTTTTAGCTCTAATTGATATTTTCAATGAGAAAAAAAAACCATCGATTTCGCGAAAGTGATTTACATATTACACAAAATAAACTTAAAATTTATTTACGGATGGAAAAGATGAGACCGAAGAAGACCTTCAAAGCGTGTCGTTGAGATCGAGAAGAATATTGACAGTATAAATTTGTCTTCTTCATTGGAGTATTTATTTTCTTTTGTCATACTATAAATTATAAATAAACTTTACGTTTGAAAGAAATACGCGCTAGTTTTATAGGTTGGATTACCTTTTGATCATCTTATGGTTGAATTTTTCTATTCCAAAATTTAAATATGCTTTATATACGTATTAATAAGATGTAAGAGCAATAATCTTGGTCCAGCCTTCATGATAATATTGAGGAAATAATAACATCTTTTAGAAAAAAGGACAATAAATACTAACGACGTTCTTAGTGCTGTTTTTATCGTATGAATCAAGTAACCAACAAGGCAATGAGATATAATTAGATTTTGGGTCAGCCAATCAAACATTTCACGACACCATTTATCTAGAATAAATTGTTTTTTTCTCAAACATATTAACATTTCACTACACTGGCATTAGAATCCGAGAACTTTCCAACTATTATTTATCACCTTAATTATAATAACTAGGAAGTTATGAACCTTTGATCCATGGTTTTTCTCAGTGAGACCGACCTTTGATAACACTAGGTATTTACACGCGCTATGCTGCGGTATATTTTTTTAGATTTTGTATATATTTTTAACATAGTAAAATTATTTTTATAATGTAAATAAGTATTATATTTATTTTTTATTAGCTTAAGTTATGTATTTATATGTTTTAAATCTGAATAACATTATATATCATTAACTTTTTTGTTTTTCAAAATTATAATCTACTGTCAAATTTGTTTAGCTTACTATCTATAAGTGTATATATGTAAGAATAAAACAATATATTTTAAGTACCTTCATGCTAATGGTAAATGTAATTTATTTTTTCTACTAAATTGCTACTTGATCCTCCTTTGAAATTATATAAAGCAAATTGCCATTTAGAAACAAATATAAATTAATATGATTATTTTAAATTATAAAATTTATTTATTTATCAAATATTTATATAAACATATGTTTCTAAAACTACCAAACTATAATCAATAACATTCATATCAAAACTACTACTATTGCTTTAGAACTAAATAAAAAGTTCTATTTGAACTGTTGAAATATCAATTTAGTTGAAGTTAAATAATTCAATTTTGGTTACTATAAACATATTGTAATTTGATAATTTAGCACAGAAAATTTTTATTTTTTTACAAAACCGAGAAATTGTATTTTCGACAAAACAAAAAAAAATTATTTTCCTACGAAACTGAGAAATCGCTTATTCCCGCCAAAACCAAAAAAAAAATTATTTTCTCGTCAAACCTGAAATTTCATTTTCCTACCAAAACAAAGAAATTGTATTTTCCCACAAAAACTAAAAAAATCACATTTTCCCGCAAGAACCCGTGTTTTCTAGTCAAAATAGAGAAATCAAGTTTTTTCACCAAAACCAAAAATTTTCATCTTCCTGTAAAAACAAAAAATAGTACTTTTCAGTCAAAACCAAAAAAAAATATTTTCCCACAAAAATCGAGAAATCGTCTATTCCCACCTAAACAAGGAAAAATTAATTTTCTCGTCAAATCAAGAATCACGTATTCCTACCAAAACCGATAAAATATAATTTTCTGCGAAAACCAAAAATTGCATTATCTCCTGAGAAATTGCGTTTCCCGCGAAAACTAAGAAATCATATTTTGTATCGAAAACCAAAAAATCATATTATATGTCAAAAACTGAAAATTTGCATTTCTCATCAAAACCAAGAAATTGTTTATTCCCGCCAAAATCGAGAAATTTTGTTTTTTTATCAATCCGAGAAATTGTATTTTCTCCCAAAATTGTCAAATTACAATTTCTCGCTAAAACTAAGAAATCACATTTTCCCGCGAAAATCAAAAAATTACATTATCCATCAAAAGCTGAAAAATTGCATTTTCTATCAAAACGATAAATCATATTTTTCGTCAAAATTGAAAAGTTGCATTTTACTCGCATTTTCTCGTCAAAATCAAAATATTTTTTTTTTCTCACCAAAACCAAAAATTCATATTTTTCCGCCAAACCCGATAATTCATTTTTTTCCACCATAACCGATAAATTATGTTTTCCTACCAAAACAGAAAATCACATATTTCTACCAAAACCAAGAAATTCTCTATTCCCGCCAAACCCCAAAAAAATTGTTCTCAGTAACACTGGAAATGCGAATCTCCAAGCTGTGGTGGTCTGAGTTTCTCCTCATTTGCTTTCGACTTTCATTTTTTTGTGAACTTTGAGCTTTTTAATGGGTCTTCAAAATAGTAAACTGATTTTATTAGTGTATTAATAATATGTATTATTGTTATATTTTTATTGGTTAAAATTTTTGCTGATGTGTGAGCTTCTTATAACATGATGCTTTTTGTATTGTTGTTAAGGAATCATAGTTGATGATGAGTCTACACTTTCTTCAATTTTATACGTCTCTATCAAGCAAATACATAGTTAGAAATTTAAATTTTTTTTTGCTGTTATTTATTATTTGAATTTCGGTTTGGCAAAAATATAAAACAAAGATTTAATTTTTTTTATTTGTTGTTATTTATTATTTGGATTTGAGTTTTTTGGCTGTTATTTATTATTTGGGCTTGGGCTTGGCCAAAAAATAAAACTAAAATCAACAATAAAAATATTTAAATTTTTAATGGGTTTAAATTTAAAAGTTAAAATAAATTGATGACTTGTATTAATGAAATGTTTTTATTGGTGTTTTATTTTGCTGAAGTGTCATCTCCTAAAAACTTAAATATGTTGATGTGTCAAGCTATGGAGAGACACTTGTGTTATTGTTGTGTTGATTTGCCGCGGATCCAACCATTAGCATCACATTTGAGTCTCATAATCTGTGTTAGTAATTAATTTTTTTTTGTGTAGTTCTTGAGATCGGTTCACTAGCTTTAATGTTAGATGTTTTGAAGACTTTCTAGTGGCATAGTTGAGCACCAAGAAAAAATCTAATTAAAGATGATAAGAAATAACAGAGATTACAAGTTGTATTAAATAGTATGAATGTATGATTGGTAAACCATATATAATACGATTAAAAAAAATACGATAAAAGTGTAAGGAAAATAGATGGCAGTACAAAAATTCATAGAATTCTGTATTGTTAATTTCTTACCGCCTTTTTGTAATGCCGCATCTAATTGTAACGATGATTAGTGACATCATTACCAAATAACAATCAACCAAAGTAAAAATAAACAGATGTACACAAAATTGAGTGGGGGAAAGTGGGGGACAAATATGAATACGATGTTGATATGAAATAGAAAATGGAAACTAGCAAGGCTAAACATGATTATCATTTTTGATTAAACCCCAATAGTATGGAATGGATTACAAGTTATTCTCTCCCTCTCACTCATGTCGAGTTCGTGTCTCTTATATGATCAACAGTCTATGAAAAAGAAAAGACCCCAAATTAAAAGTTTGTATTTCTTCTATGAAAACAAAGATCGCATTAAGATTCAAGTTCAATAACTTTTGTCCTTATACTGTCCAATGAAACTCACTGTTTACAGTTTATAGCATTTTTAGACATGTAAAATATTGTGTAAGAAAATTCAATCTTAGAAAATACTAGTTGATTTTGACCAGAAAATTAGTTGATATTCTATATCCCAGCGTGGTGTTTGGCTATAAATTAAACCAAAGATATCAACTTATAAATTTTATGAAAATCTGAAATTGCATGGAAGACTTTTCCTCTTTGAATATTGGACAGCAGTAATAAAATAGCCGCATCAAAAGTTATACTGATGCTTTCAGAGTTTCACTTTCACTAATTTATGAGTTGATTAGTAGAGTGTTCGATTTTATTTTATTTTTCCCAAAAAAAATTAAATATTACCAGTAAAAGAAAATGAAAGATTTGGGTCGCCGCAACTAAGGGCGTGATCAATGTCGAATAAATTTAGAAGAGCTTCATCGAAAGATATATTTTGTACGAGTTATCCTTTTTGCTTGCAATTATTATTGGTCTTGTAACTGGAGAAGTCAATATTAGTACAGTTGGAAATGGAAAACCTTTAAAAGGATTGAGAAGCGGACATCACCATAAATGCAATAAGATAAGGGAGAGGGAGACAGCTAAAAAGAGCTTACAAATATAAGATTGCTACTTCCTGTGTGTAGTTAATTTTTTTTTTTTTTGTATTAATGTTATGTAGTTAAATTTGTTCTTTCCTATTTGTAGATAACTCTGTTTTTAAAAGACTGATAATTGAGCTAAATGAAAACATTTGGAGTAAAAAATTATTTGTTGAGTATATCTTTAGAAACCATAAATTAAAAAGAAAGAAAAACAGAAAATATATTTGAAGATCACAATTTATAGTTGGTTTGTAATTTTTGAATATACCTTCTTTTGAAATATATATTTTCCAATTATTTACTAGCTATATAGAGGTTGAGTGATGTCGTTGGCCTACCTGTTTATTTTATTTTTCATTTTTTGTTGGCTTTCATTTTCACAGCCCATGAGAAGGTTATGGTTTTAGAATCTCTTAGTGTAATTGTTACAACTACTACTCACTCATGCTTTGATCGGTCCTAATAAGTATGACCTTTTTGGCCAATTATTTCAACTATATATTTATAAAAAAGGCTAAATGTATTAAAGATGCTAATATTTAATCAATTTGTATCCACTCATGTATACTTAGCAACTGTTAACTCACCCACCAAATTATCAATCATATTGAATAAGGTTTCACTCCATTTCTTTACAGTATTTTTACTCAGGAATATTATTCAGTACTTGTTCTCACAAAAGTTATAGATATATTAATCCAATAAAGTTTACAGAATCAAAATCATTTAATCTTAGATATAAGCTGAGCTAATGTATCTTGTAAAAAAAAGGTCAACTAATCTTCCAAACCGAACAATAAAAATCGATATCAGGATCGAGTGATATATAGTCTCGTGGTTTGGTCATACTAAAGATCGAAATTTCTCACACATATATTTTTGTTTAAGCAATTCACTTTATACAAAAAAAACCATAGATTAATAATGTACGTATATGATAATTTCTCAGATAACCCATATTCCTGCGCATAGATTTCTTCTTTCACAAGAAACCAAAACTCCTAAAGAAATTTAGGTGAAACTAAAGACATATAATTGTGGTAGACCGGTAGTACAAGAAGTTTGACATATAGTACCGTAAATGAAGAATTCTTAGTGTTTGTTTAATATTTTGTATTTATCAAAAAAAAAAATTGAATTTGATTCATAACAGTTGAAACATTTAATTTTTTTGTCAGATATATCGAAGTTGTTATATTGTATGGGACTGCAATCTCTAATATAAACGATAAAGAACACACTTTACTTCCAACTAAAATTGGATTTTATACCGTGACTGAAGCTCTTTGCTCCGCGATGATATTCACACATACTTTATATACATATTGACTTTAGGATGGCTATTTTCGATTTCTGAAAAATAATTGTTGTGAAAACGTTGATATTGACAAATGGTTGAATGTATAAAATAGAAATAACGTGTGTGGATGAAGGAAGTGGGGTTGTAGGCTTTGCTTGTTTATAGAAGTAAAGTTGAATATATAATTAATTGAAATGGAAATTTTTTTTTTTTTCTGACCTTGTTTAGTTTCACAGTCATATTGGGCTTTGACTGGATTCAGGATTTTTAAAATAAACTACGGCCCAGTTATATATATATATATATGTATACTGTATTCAACAAGTTTTCAAAACACAACGTTCAAGGGAAGGCAAGAAAAATCATCAACTTTCCAAAAAACTCGAGAGCCAAAAGACTAAAAACCGCGACTGTGTAATCGAGCGAAGGTGATCATTTTCTGAAATCTGTTCTTCTTCGCCTGTGATTTTCTTGTTGTTTTTCACGGGAATCCTTGAAAACTGTGCGCTTTCATCTTCTTTACTCTGAATTTATCGGCAAAATCACCCGTCGTTTTTCAAGATTAACAGAGAAATTTCAGTGGCATGCGTTAAGTTTCAATGTGTCTCTGTTCATTTGCGGAAATTTTGATTTTTTTATAAATCGGATTGTGTTCAATAATCTCCGTTCAATAAAAAGATTGCGACAGAGAGATGTTTCTTGCTTTGAGTCTTGAAAATATTTGCTTTCCTAGGATAAACTCGCTTTGCATCTATTGAGTCTGTGTATTCAATCAGTTCTTGTTTGTAAAAGAAGAAGAAGAAGTAGAATCTAAAATCCATGGGATCGTGAGTCCGTGACCGTTCTTCGACTGTTTCTCTTCTCTGATCTCGGAATTTCGTTTCTGATATGTCAAATTGTGTTCTTGTTATGGTCGTTTCATGAACATGAGATGTTCGACGATTTGCCTCTGAATGCAGAAAGTGTTTTTGGAACAGATAACATTGCATATCTACATATAATAAGTTTACCTCTCTCGTAATCTTTGGGGTTTTTCTTATGGGTTTGTGCAGAAAGTAAAAATTTCTCTCGTAATTTAGAAATTGCATCAAGTTCCAATTTTGAGATATGAGCCCAAGATCGATGAATAAAACACGCCGGGTTTCCCCATCTCCTCTTTCAAGTTACGAGGAAGTGGTGGCTGATAAGGATCTCTTCATGTCTACGTTGAAGACGTTACACTCTGAAATGGGCACAAAATTTTGGTAAGACTCTTTTCAAGCTTATGTGTTATTACCAATGATTGTTTTATGCCATTGCCATCACCAATGTCCATTGCTGAGATATACATAATGATTGTAGGATTCCCAAAGTACGATTTGAGGATTTAGACTTGCATAAGCTTTTTGTTGAGGTTACTTCTCGTGGTGGAATCGAACAGGTAATTATGTAATCATCATCATCATCATCATCATCATCACCATGAGAGTTGAAAAATTCAGAAATCTACATGTAACCTTATCATCATCATCAGATCATTTGATGCCTAGTTTTCGTTTTGAGTTTCTGCAGACAGTTAGAGAAGAGAAATGGAAGGATGTATTTGATACGTTTAGCTTCCCCAAATCACAACAAAACCCGATTTTTACAAAGATCTTGCGCGGACACTACTACTCGCTACTTCGTGATTACGAGATCGCCTATCTCTTCAAATCTCGTTGCCAGTTTCCTCCATGTATGCACATTTCATCAGTTACTTGCTACTTCACAGCTACAAGATCATTTGTTTCTTCAAAGCTTTGAAAAATATCATCTCTTTGTCAATGAATGGACTCGTCTATGGAAAATTTAAGAGTGGTTATCTTGTTACTTTCACAGTGGGATCAGGGAAGCTGGAAGGAGTTCTGCATGAGTCTACAGAGACGAGTGTTACTCAAGATCCAGAGAGACAGAGCTATGATGTGTTCCCCAATATTTTTACTGATAAAGCCAATTCTCAAGGGCTTTTCAACACAAAAGGCACTGCCCAGTGGAAAAGGTTCAAGAAACACCACGAAAACGAGGTATACAACAATGTCCTCCAAAGCAGAACACTGAAGCTCATGGTCCACGTGTAGATATGAGATCTTCGTTGATGATCATCTATGGTTTTCTTTATATAAATCAGGTCGTCCTTGATGCTGTGACGCTGCAACAATGTACTCCAAAGCAGAACACTGAAGCTGGTTCTCCAATGGAAGAGTCTGAGGAAAAAGATGAGGTCCATTATTCTGACTCCGAAATGGTACAAGGCTCTTCTCAGGATGAGATAGCCATTCATAGGGAAGAAGTCGGTGACTTGACGGACACGTCTGAGGTGGCCGATGAGCAGAGCTAAAACAGTTTTTCTTTTACTGGGCTTGTTGCACAGAGTTAGACATATGACAGAGTTTCAGATAGGTTGCTTCCACCACAAGACATCCCTATAGGGTAGTATAGTAGTGTTTCAACGTTTTTGTATAGTTTTCTTCGGATACAAGGCACCTCACGCTGGTTAGAGAAGAGGTTTATATAGTTGGCATAGAAAAACTCAGAAGAGAGATTCAAATCCAAGTTTGTTTTGCTCTTTTTGGCGTATTTTTTGGCCTCAAAGCATTCATATTTACATTCATACATACACAAATGAAAGGCAAGCAGAGAAAATAAGTACAGTGAATGTTAGATTTTTTTTTTTGCTTAGATATTGAAAGCAGAAAGAAAACAAGAGCCGTAGCTTAAAGGGATGAACTGTATTTGACTAAAAACATCATATTCTTATTCATGGAAAACAACGGATTACAAAATATCTTCTTAAATAGACTTATGTGAAAACCCTAAAGAGATGTCCACAGACTTTAGGTGCACTACGCTTCACACGATCTCAAACTCTCAAATCTATTACTGATTCCCACAACTCCAGCTGGATTGTACGAACATGCTCTGTTCTTGATGCTTGATGTTGACACCTTGTGTTTGGATCCGAAAGTAACCGTTGTGTGTTGTTTTGCATTGTTGGGCTTATCATGTTTGCATAGGCCCAATGTGACATTTCTTTCTGCACAGCCCACTTCTTTGTTGTTTGAACCCGACATGGGCTTACAAACCTTAACACTCCCCCTCAAACTTAGTGTGAGAGAGTCCACACCAAGTTTGAATCGTAGATCAGCAAATGACTGCAACGGCAACGACTTAGTAAAGATATCGGCAAGCTGATACGCAGCGGAGATATGTTTCACAACCAGAGTACCCCGAGTGACACGTTCACGAACATAATGGAAGTCGACTTCAAAGTGCTTGGAGCGTTTGTGCATTGCAGGCGTTGCAGAGAGATAAACAGCAGACAAGTTATCACAGTACAATTCAGGCGGAGACAATTGAGGAAAACCGATATCACGAAGAAGATCACCAATCCAAGTGAGCTCAGCAGCAGTGTCCGAAAGAGTCTGATATTCGGCTTCCGTCGAGCTCCGGGAAACTGTAGCATGTTTCTTAGCTGACCAAGAGATGAGATTCGATCCAAGGAAGATACAGAAGCCTCCGGTGGATCGTCTTGTTTCTTTACACCCTGCCCAATCACTGTCACTATAAGCTCGAACAGTGAAGTCAGTATCATCAGTGATGTTGAGACCATGATCAGTTGTTCTCTGAAGATAAAGAAGGATTCGTTTTAAGAGACTGAAATCAGCGACAGATGGACAATGCATCTTTTGACAGATGAAATTCACAGCAAACTGAATATCTGGTCTTGTCAAAGTCAGATACTGCAGTTTGCCAGCGAGACTACGAAAGTAAGATGGTTCAGACAAGAGCTCATCTTGATTGGGAACTCTGTCAAGTTGCAGGGGCAGTGGGGTGGGAATGGGGGAGCAATCTGACATTCCAGCGATGTGAAGCAAATCCTCAGTGTACTTCTCTTGGTTTAAGAACAGACCACCCTCGTGAAAGTTAGCCTGAATACCCAAAAAAATAGTGAATTCGCCCCAAGTCTTTCATTTTAAACTCACTGCTCATAGTCGTAAGTAGATCAGCCATAAGAGTGTTGTTGTTACCGGTCAAGACCATATGATCAACGTATAACAGGAGAAGTAGTACATTGTCATTCTTCAGGTAAACAAACATAGAAGGATCTGAGGTGCAGCAAGTGAAACCAAATTCCAGCAAATATGTACAGAATTTGTTGAACCAAGCGCGAGGGGCCTGTTTAAGGCCATAAATAGCTTTGTGAAGTTGACAGACATAACCTGGTTTCTCCGGATCTATAAACCCTGGTGGTTGATGCATGTACACAGTTTCAGTAAGGTCACCATGAAAAAGGCATTCTTGACATCGAGTTGCTTGATATCCCACTTCAGAACCGTAGCAACGTGTAGAATGGATCTGACCGTTGGCGTTTTCACCACAGGACTGTAAGTATCCAGGTAGTCAATGCCTTCTTCTTGATCAAAGCCCTTAGCCACAAGTCGAGCTTTGAGTTTGTCAAGAGACCCATCTGCATTCAGATTCGTTCAAAAAACCCATTTACAACCCAAGATATTCATATCAGGATGATAGGGAACCAAAGAGAATGTATTGGTTTCAGTTAAGTTCTCAATTTCTTCTGACATTGCTCCATTCCAGCATGGATGCTTCAATGCTGCAGTGACAGTTTTTGGTTCTGCAGGAGTTGAAGTTATTGTGAGGAGGGCATAGCGGGGATTGGGCTTTGAGATGCCTGCCTTAGAGCGAGTGTACATGGTATGATTTGGCAATGTAGCTGCAAGTGGTGGAAAGTCACTGTCTGAGAACAGAGGAGCACCAGAAGAGGTTGTAGTCTCTGAAGGTACTGAAGGAACCGGAAGAGTGGATTCACACAGCTCAGTACTTGCTTGACTCACAGAAGTAGTACTGGTGAGAAAGCTTTGTTGCCATGCAGATAGAAGTGGGGTTCGTTGACCTTGGTGAAAAGAGGAGTATGTTGTTGCAAACGGGAAGACCAACTCATCGAAGAGAACATGTCTGCTGATATAAACTCGACCAGTTGGAGGATACAAACACCTGTAACCCTTATATTTCTCATTGTAACCAATAAAAACGCATTGGAGAGACCTTGGATCCAGCTTATCAGAAGCATACAGGCGAAGCGAGGGATAGCACACACAACCAAACGACCTCAGAGCAGAATAGTCTGGTTTTCTGGCAAAGAGAACTTCATAAGCACTTTGATGATTGGACAAGGTAGAAGAGGGCAAGAGATTGCTTAAGAAATTGTCAGTGAAGAAAGCCTCAACCCAGTGTTGTTGAGGAACTTTGCCTTCGAACATCATAGACAAGCCGAGTTCAGTGATATGCTTATGCTTGCGCTCTGCAATCCCATTCTGTTGGGGGCGTATGAGGGCAAGAGAGTAACTGTTTGATCCCACATTGAGCTAGATGAGTGACAAACTTTGTACTTGTAAACTCTCCCCCTCCATCGCATTGAAACATTTGAATTTTGGTGTTGAATTGATTCTCAACAGGCGACTGAAACAGTATAAAAGTAGAATAGAAGTCTGATTTATTCTTCAGAGGATAAAACCAACAATATCTGGAGAAATTTTCTATGAAGACTACATAATATTTGAACCCTTGAACAGAACATACTGGAGCCGGTCCCCAAAGGTCAGAATGCAGCCTCTCAAGCGGTCTTGTAGCAACAAAAACAGAAGAAGAAAAGGGCAGCTTCGCACTTTTAGCAAGTTGGCAGGAATCACACAACTTGTTGGCGGTCTTATTGACTGAAATAGCGTTGATCTTAACAAGGTGTTGGAGAATCTCTGAGCTTGGATGTCCGAGTCTTCTATGCCAAACCTCAGCACTTGTGATGAGTTTTCGGTTGGAGTAAAGAACCTGCAACTTTGGTGGATTCTCCAAGACGTAAAGGTCTTTATGTCTGCTTCCTTGTGTCAGGATTCGTTTTGTGAACTTGTCCTTTATACGAATACCAGTATCATCAAATTTAACAGTGCAAGGGTAATCACTAGTTAATTTGGACACATATAGCAAGGATTTAGTAACATCAGGGCAAACCAGAACTTTTTTAAGTATTAAAGTACCTGACATAGTCTGCAGAGGAACCGAGCCGATATGAGTGATGGGGAGGAAGTTTCCATCAGCGATCATGACGTTGTCACTACCACGATACTCCTGAGAGGTCTGAAGATTCTGACTTGAGTTGGTGATATGCGCAGACGCTCCTGTATCAGGATACCACTCGTGTCCTGAAGACTGTTCTGGTTCTGAGATTTTCATTGCAGCGAGTGCCTGAGGAAGCTGATTCTAAGTATTGTCAAAGCTAGGGTCGTATGGATCATAACGGCTATAACAGGTGACAGCTGAATGACCATATTTTCCATAGATCTGACAAGTAGGCTTCTGACCGTTGTGTGAGGAAGAGCCACGACCACTGTTTTAAGCAAACTGTTGAGGAAAACCTCTGCCTTGGGTGCTGTAAAAACCTCTTCCTTGAGTGTTGTAAGAGCCTCTGCCACGATATCCACCTCTGTTCTGTCCTCTGCCATGACCAGAGTATCCACCACGCTCAGAGTAGAAGGCTTGATGAGGATCCACAGCAGGTGATTCAGTGTAAGTTTGCAACTTTTCATCAAAGCCGATGAGCTTGTACATCACATCTTCAAAGGAAGGACCGTTGTCTGAGTCCATGGATTCTTCAATAAGTGTGGAGATGGACTCATATTCACGACCTAGTCCATTTAGAATGCCGTAGATCTTGTCTTGTTCAGGTAGAGGAGCTCCAATAGAATCGAGTTGATCACAAAGCGAGGTTATTTCAGACAACTATTGTGTAAGGGGTCGAGTACCTTTTGTTGTGGTCTAAATGGCCGTTGGATGTCCAGTCGACGAGTGGAGGAAGCTCTATTGTACTTCTTGGCAAGATGATACCAGACCTCCTGAGAGGATCTCAGGCCATATATGCTTTTAAGAGCATCTTTGGACAGAGATCCATAGATCCAGGTCATTATGAGCTGATATGTGTGAACCGACTTCTGAAACTCCGGGTTGATAGTTTGAGTAGCTTGCTCGCTGGTTTGAACCATGATAGTTGGTTGAGGACGAGGGATAGCTCCACTGACGTAGCCGAGAAGGAGCTGACTCTGCAGAAACTGTTCGAACTGCAGTTTCCATTGAAGATAGTTCTTGTCATTGAGCTTTAGAGTAACAACTTGGTTGATTGTGAGAGTAGCAGGAGATAGAACAGATGGAGTAACTTCTATGACTCTGACACCATGAAAGCAGAAAGAAAACAAGAGCCATAGCTTAAAGGGATGAACTGTATTTGACTAAAAACATCATATTCTCATTCATGGAAAACAACGGATTACAAAATGTCTTCTTAAATAGACTTATGTGAAAACCCTAAAGAGATGTCTACAAATTTTAGGTGCACTACGCTTCACACGATCTCAAACTCTCAAATCTATTACTGATTCGCACAACTCCAGCTGGATTGTACGAACATGCTCTGTTCTTGATGCTTGATGTTGACACTTTGTATTTGGATCCAAAAGTAACAGTTGTGTGTTGTTTTGCATTGTTGGGCTTATCATATTTGCACAGGCCCAATGTGACAT